TCATCCATTCGCTCCCCGCGTGCACGCGCCGCACGCTGAGTCCTAGACCCCTGCGCTCCTCCTCCTCCGCCAACCCAGGCTCCAGCCTCGCTCCTAAGGGCCGCCCCTCGCTCCCGCCAAGGGCTAGAGGACTTATGAGGGTGATTCTGGGAGGCAAGAGGCGTCTTTGTAGAGTCTCGCTGCCTCCCTGGGTCGCTTCCCTCGTCCTCGTGATAGTAGACGCTGGAGCTGGCTGCCTATGGGACCAGTCCTGTGTCCCTAACTCCACTGTCGCGGTCACGGTCTTGCCCGAGTCTAAGGCAACTTCTAGTGCTGAAGGATAGCTCCCGCTGAGCTGACGAAGAGCACAGAGCTTGCAGAACTTCCTGGAGGGGTCAAGGCAGGAAGCTCAGATGGTAGTAGTGGTGGGGTGTTGTTTCTGCCCTTAGTAAAATTTCCAGTAACCTCCTCCCTTCCCATCGTCCTAGCTTCCTGGCTCCCCCTACAGCCTGCTGAGAATAGCTGAGCAAGAGTTGGGGATGCTGCACGCTGGAACGATGTGCTTGGGGCCCTCACAGAGTCCCAGGGCACTAGGAACTCAGACATACAAACATCCTGCCGCACCACTAACCTTGTTTGGACTCCTCCAAATTTAAGACTGGTCTGATTGTCTATTTCCTTTCTTCACTGCCTCTCACTTCCAGTGATTCCCTCATCATAATTATTAATGAATCATTGCCAACAAGGATATGCTAATATTAAGAATAGTAACAATAATAGAAAATAGCCTTTATTGAATATCTAAGGACATGTATTATCTCATTTAATCTTTGCAACAATTTTATTACCTCGACATTACTGTTACGTGTATTTACATATGAGGAAGCTGAGATTTAGAGTGGTTAATTTGCTTAAGGTCACACAGTTAGTAACCAATGGAGCCAGGATAGAAAGCCAGGAAGTCTGATTCTAGAGGTCACTTTCTTATCCAGTAAAGTCCTAGAGGGATGGAGGGGTAGAAGACACAGTCCTACCTTACAGGAAATTACAGTCTATATGAAGAAAAAAGACATACAGGTTAATGGGAAGAGTTGTGGACTGGAGACCTGGTAGTAGTTTTACCAGAATCTTTTCCTTCCCTGAGTCTTGGTTTTCTCCTAAGTAACATGAGGGGGTGTTGAGAGTTAAGTGAGATGGGTTAGGAATCACTACCAGAGATGGAGTGATGGTGGGGCATGAAAGATTTCTGGCAAAGAAGTTGGAGCTGGTTCCTAAAGAAGTGGCATGTTTGAGTGGTTGGGAGGGCATTCCAGATAAGAGGAATACAGGTGAAAAGTTTCAGGGATAGAGAGGAGCATGTATATTCATGAAACCTTGAATGTGACAGTTTGGTTGTATTGGTTGTGAGTTTGTGGGGAGGTGTATAGAGGAGAATGAGACAAGAGATGAAATTTCCAGGAGATCCGGCAAGATGGTGGGCTAGGCAGAAAGACTGCACAGAACCTCTTCAACAACGAAAGGAAAACCAATTAACACAGACACAGAAGATAATCTTGGACCCCTGGGCCTTGAAGGGAAGGATATAGAAGTGGACTAAACCCCAACTAGGAGAAGAATTTGTGTGAAAATACCAAAAAAGGAGACAGATGAAGCTGCAGTCTGGCAGCGATCCTGACAGCACAGACAGCTTGGAGATTCCTGAGTGCTGGTAGGACCTAAGAATTAACCTAAAAATCACCCTGCTAGCCAGGGACTGCATGGAGGACTGTACACGATGGCTAGACAGTGCTCTCGCAGATTTCTGGGGCTTAAGAACACCTTCTACTTTCCAGCAACCCCAAGGACACTCATGACCTGCAAGAATGAAAAGGTATGACATTCCTCTTGTTACTCTTATACCCCACACCCTCTTGGTAAACGGAGGTGTGGCCATCCCCACTCCCACCTACCTTCTGGGCCTACAGGAACTCCATAACAGTCTGTGTGCTCAGATGGAGCCTGGGTGCCCTGCC